GCAGTTTTAGGAGGAAGTCTTGTCTCACCTCTCACGCTACCATCTTTAATCCTCTCTCCACTGACATATTTTCCCATGAGCCTTTTTCAACAAACACGTGCCCTTCTGACCTCCTGAGTACCTACAGCTGAGGGAGGGAGGGGTGGTCTCTTGGGCGACTTGAGTGGTACAGGGAGCCACTGTACCTATGGGGATGTCATATTCCTCAAGTGTGCTGAAGTGGAAACCAGAATTTAAGAAGAATATTTTGTCACATGGTATAAATAAAAGTGGGTTACCTGAAATCCACATAAAATTAACCATTTTCAAGTACACAATATAGCATACACTTAGTGTACAATATAGTGTTTAAGTGGTATTTAGTGCATTCACATTATTGTGCAGCCCCTACTTCCATCTAGTTCCAAAACACCATCACCCCTACAAAAAAATCCCTGTACCCATTAAGCAGTCACTACCCAGCACTTGGCAATCACCAATTTGCTTTTGATTTCTATGGATTTACAGACATAAATACCTATTCTAGGTATTGCAAACAAATGGAATCATTTAATATTGGCCTTTTCTCTCTTTTTGCATGGAGATATCCCATTGTTCCAGCACCATTTGTCAGAAAGACTAATCCCTCCCCATTGTATTGCCTTGGCACTTTTGTTGAACATCAACTGACCATAAATATAAGGGTTTATTCCTGAACTCTCAATTTTGTTCCTCTGGTCTCCATGTCTATCTCTATCCAATACCAGTACCACAGAGTGCTGATAACTGTAGCTTTACAGTAAGTGTTGAACCTGGAAATGATGAGTCCTCCAACTTTGTTGTTTTTTTTCAAGATTATTTTGGCTATTCTAAAATTTATATGTAAATGCAGCACTAAATTATGTTTTCTACCTTCATCTTACATCTACCTACCACTTCAGCATTTTAGTAAAAAAAAAAAAATGGGAGAAATGTGGGATTCACATATAAGTCAAGTATAAAAATCAAATGGATAATCATATCTGACTTCATTGTTCATAGTTCATGATGCGTGATCAAAACTGAAAGTTTCTGTGATATGACTGCCCTTGCACTGTTCACCATGTAAGAACTTATTCACTATGTAAGAACTTATTCACCATCTAAGAACTTGTTTGTTATGCTTCAGAAGATTGGAGACGGTTGAGAATTAGGCTTGGGGTTGATTAATGATTGTGCATTGAGTCCCCTATACAGAATTTTATCGTTGTTAACAACCATTTGATCAATAAATATGAGAGATGCCTTCTCAAAAAAAATTATATGTAAATGCAAAGGACCTTGATCAGTTTGTCAATTTCTGCTAGAAATTTTATAGGGATTGTGTTGAATCTATAGATCACTTTGGGAAGAACTTCCATCTTAACAATATTGAGTCTTCTAATCCATTACCATAAATATCTCTCCATTTGTTTAGATATTCTTTAATTTCTCTCAGCAATTTCTCTCAGTAGGTTTACAAGTCTTGTACCTCTTCTGTCAAATTTAATCCTAAGTAGTTAATTCTTTCTGATGCTATTATGAATGGAATTGTTTCTTAATTTCAGTTTAAGATTGTTCAAAAATAGCAGTAGACTCATAAATACCGAGAAGGGACTAGTGGATATCAAAGGGTAGGGGTTGGGAAGGGCAGTGGGTGGGAGGGAGAAGGGTATTAAGTGGCACTATAATTTGCAATCACAATATAGGTAGGTCATGGAGATGGTAGCACAGCACGGAGAATGCAGTTAATGACTGTAACATCTTACTACATTGATGGACAGTGATCACACTGGAGGGGGTGAGGACTTGATAACATGGGTAAATGTTGAACCACTGTGTTGTGTATCTGAAACCATCATAAATAAGATTGTATGTCAATGATACTTTAATAAAAAAATTGTTCTTTGCTCAAATATAGAAATACAATTCAACTTTGTACACTGATCTTGTATCCTGAGACCTTGCTGGTCCTGTGGATTCCTTAGGATTTTCCATATACAAGATCATGTTATCTGTAAACAAATATAGTTTTGCTTTCTTTCCAACCCAAACACCTTTTATTCTGTCTTCTTCCCTGATTGTACTACAGCCTGAGAATTTGTATTTTTAATAAGTTTCCAGATGATGTTGATATTGCTGGTCTAGGGAACCACACTTGGACAGCCACTGTTCTAAAGAATGGATGTCATCAAATGGATATGATTCTAGAGGAAAGTAAGGGAAGGAAAGTGAATATTACAGTATATCAGAAGTGTAAGATCCTCTCTTTCTAGATACTGTGAAGAAAATGGATGATTGAAATGGTCAGAAAAGTCTAAGCATAATTACTTTGGAAGAAATACATAGAAATTACCCAGTAGAATTTTCGGTATGCTATAAATTTTAAAAAAGATTAAAGAAACTCAAAATGTTAATTCAATGACTGGAAAAAAGCTAAAATGGTATGGAGTGTCCATTTAGGAAATACAGTTGATAAATAGAGTATCAAATTGAAGGTATTACATTAAAATTATAAGAAAACAATAACAACAACAATGTTACTAGCACATAACATATCCGGAGCACTTGTGACTGCCAGGTTCTATTCTAACTGCTGTAATAGATTAATTCATAAAATCCTTACAACCCTATGAGTTGGCTATTATCATCATCCCTACTTTATAGATAAGGAAATTAAGGCACGGAGAATTTAAATAACTTGTTCAAGGTTACACAGCTAGTCAGTGTCAGAGCCAGGATTCACCCAAGGCAGTATTGCTCTACAGCCCACTCTTTCTCATAACGCTGTCTTCCTTCTCTTTCTTTCTTCAGACAATAACAATTTCCTACCTCCAAGTAACAAAAAGCACTTTTCCCCTGCTTTCTGTGAACTTCCCTTTTAATCACTTCAAAAGGAGTCATAAAAATTAGCTTGTTGCCCACCATTTGAGGAGCTTAAAAACAGTGTCTGGGTAGAAGGAGGGGTACCCAGGTATTCCTTTTTAAAAGTAAGTTGTGTGGTGGGCTCTGAAAGCCAGGGAAGTAGCAATCTCTGTTCTAGAAGCTCACAGAAGAGGCAGAATGAGGAGAGTTAGTTTTCTGAGGAGGGTAGCTATAACATGCTTTACCCAGGGTGGCTGAATCACTCAAAGGAATACAGCTTTACCAGAAGCTGGAAAAAAACTCTGTGAAAACTCTGCTGATGCTCCTAATTCTAGGTTGTCTGGTGGGTCTTGAAACTTTAAATAGCCCCGCAAAGGGATGTGGTTAGCTTCACATGACCTGTCTCTGCTGTGGCAGCTTGGTCCTGTCCAAATGAATCTTAGTCACCACATTGGCTATGAAGCCCAACTCTAATTTTGTGGCACTGGGAGAAATAGACCTTGTGTTTCTTATGATGGGACAAACCTGAGCCTCTACGTGGGCAATCACAGGTTGAACCCCAGACAGGGTAATGTTGCATAGGCCAAAGCAGCATTAGAGAGTTAAAAAGAATTTCAGGACAAATTCAGAAAGAAACAAAATTAATGGTTTCTTTGGGGAGGAAACTAACTTTGAAAACAGCTGACCAAATTTCACTCGGGATGATAAGATTTTTTTCCTTTTGTAGGCTACACTGGCTCAGGTGTACATCAAAGCAAAGAAATGAAAGTCTTGGGAACCTTCTTTGGCCACCACCTCAATAATGGCATATCATTAATAATTATTTTTGCCAAGGAAAAGCTTAACTTGGAATAAGCATCACCAACAATGACATGCTATAATTTCCCTTGCTCTATAGTAGCACTAATAGAACTTTCTGCAATGACAGAAATGTTTTATATCTGGGCTGTCCCATTCCATAGCCACTAGCCATGTATGGTTCTTGAGCATGTGAAAAGTGCTAGTGTGACTGGGGAACTGACCTTTTAATTTTATTTAATTTTAATGAATTTTAATAGTTACATGTGGCTAGTGGCTACCACCTTGGAGAATTCAGCTCTATAGGATTATATTGTGGCCTATACAGCTTCCCCAAGGTTTGTATAAATGTCCTTATAAATTTTGAGTTGTATATGATTCACATATTTCAGGGGTTGAATAATAATTCTTTTTATTACAACTTATGACATATCTGAAAATACTTACAGAGAAAGTTTTATAGTTGGCAGGAGTGACATGACTAAGGAGGGTTACTATCCAATCAAGGACAGAGTTAAATTTTTTTATAGTAATCAAAGTAAGTCAAACAAAGGCTAATTTTAAGAATAGTATATAATAGAGTTTCCTCTGTTGAGGAGAGGAGGGGAGAAATGCTGTCCCATAAAGTTTCTGCCCAGTGCTGAGAAGGCTCCATTATTTTTTGTTGGGTTTTCTTCAAAACCTTTTAAAGTCAAATGTCAAATGGGCTCCCCTTATGGGATAATTGCCTTTTTTTTTATTTTGGCAGGGTGGAGAGCAGTAAAAGCAATAAGAGCACCTAGGAAGAATAAAGAAAAGGTTAGAAAAGTAATTTGAAAACATTTTCTAGTAGACATAGGTAGTGGGGATTTTTATTGCTTTATTGCTAGTTCCAATTTTAATTTGGTATTGTTTCCACTGAACTAAACTCATATATTTTTTGGTCAAAATAATTAATTTAGAGAACATATGGCCTAGATTCATATTTAACAATAATGGATAATAGCAAATTACTATTTTAAAGTAATTGTATCCCTGCTATGAATTTTAATCTTTTTATTATAACATTGTTTAGGTTCATACAATAATGGATAATAGCAAATTACTATTTTAAAGTAATTGTATCCCTGCTATGAATTTTAATCTTTTTTATTATAACATTGTTTAAGTTCATACTTAGATACTATCTTAAATGATTTTAAAAACCGAAACCTTATTGAAATGGTGGTAATTTTTTGGAAGTGAGAATTTAGCTGTAAGAAAAACAATGGCCAACAGTAGGATATATTCATCGCACTGAAAAAGAATAAAAACATAATCATCAACTGTGTTTGTCTGGCGTTTTTGTTGATTTAATTTACCTTTAGTTTCCTCCTTGCATTGAATTTCCTCAGTTGTTCTACTGTTTCTGGAAGATGAATCTTGTAGGCATAACGATCCCGCTCCTATGAAAGAAGAAAGACAATGAATGCACATAGTTGTTTAAAAACGTGAAGAAGCTTAATCTAAAACAAACAATAAAGCCCAAATTCTTAAACATGAAACTTAGATTGGATTCTAGGTGACCGGAGATTTTATTCCATGACACTGGTAAACATTTTCAAATAAAGGACATGAAGATCAAAACTGATAGTAAAATAGTATCTTATTTGCAGCAATAATAAAGGGCTAAGGTAATGGGTCATACAATTTTCAGATAAGTGGTTAAAATAACTAATCATAACTATTATGAAGACATGAAGTTATCTTTGACATGATCTTGTTAGGTAAAATGAGCACTTGAAAAATTAACTCCACAACTGATCGAGCATTCTGAGTTATCAGGGATAACTGAGTATCTTTGAATTAGAACAAACTTTTCAAGGCTATCTAATTCAATCATTTCCGCATGTGGGATCCTCTTCAATCCCTTGTGGGTGATCATTCTGTCTGACTTTGCCTAGTAGGGGATCATTACTTTATGGCAGCCCATTACAAATTTTAAGGAAGTGAAAAAGTTCTTACTCAGCTTAGGCCCATAACTGGCTTGTTTGGGCTAGCTCTGCCCTTTGGGGCATCACAGTGCAAACATATTACCTTTTCCACATGGTAGCCCTTTAGTAGTTAAGAGGGGGATCATGCCTGCACTGAATCTATTCTTCTCTGTGATAATGTCTGCAGTTGCCTCCATTATTCCTCATGAATATTTCAAAATTTTTGTTAGTCTTTTTACCCCTCCCTCCTTTGGTTCTGCTCCAATTTGTCAATGTGTCTTACAAAAGTATTCATTTCAGAAATATTTCTTGAGAGCCTACTATGTTCCAAGCATTGTTCTATGCACTTGGAATACATGAGTAAACAAAACCAACAAAGATTCAGGCCCTCATGGAACTTACATTCTAGTGGGAGAACATAAGAAAATACAAAATAGGTCAAGTATAGAGTATGTTAATAGTACTATGGAACAGAGCAAAAAGTAAAGTAGAGTAGGTGGGGTTAGGTACACTGCAATTTAATATAGCGTAGTCAAAGGAGGCCCAATTGAGAAGGTCATATCCAAAAGAGGTAAGGGAGTGGTCTATGCAGAAAGAACCACTAATGCAAAGGCCAGAAAGAGGGAGTGTGCCTGGAATTTTTGAGAAATAGCAAGGAGACCCAAGTGTGGAATAAACAGTAGTAGATCAGATCAGAGAGATGACAAGTTTGGGGTAGGCCGTAAAGGGCCTTTGGCTTATATTCTGAGTGGGAGAGGGAATCAATGGAGGGATCTGAGCTGGAGTGAATATGACCTGACAACTTTAAAGGAACACTCTAGCTGTGTTGAGAACAGCTTGGAAGGGGGAAAGTGTTTAAAAAAATAAAGCAGGGAGACCAGTTAGGAGGCTATTGTAGTATCCAGGGGAGAGATGATGGTTAGATGATGGTGAATGAAAGCAGATGGAAACAATAAAAAGGGTGAAAAGGAAACAGACTCTGAATATATTTTGTTTTTCTTTCCTCAAAAAGTTTTACTAAATAATTAGCATATAATAAACTGCACATATAAAGTGTACAATTTGATAAGTTTTGACACATGTATATAGCTGTAAAATCATCACTGCAATCAAGATACTGAATATCTACTACTCTCAAAAGTTTCCTCATGCCCATTTGCATTCCCCTCTCTGTCCCCAGGTAACTGCTGATCTACTTTCTGTTACTATAGATCGGTTTGCATTTTCTAGAATTTTATGTAAATGGAATCACACAGTCTATAGTCACTATTGCCCAGCTTCTTTCACTCAGCCTAGAGATTTTGAAATTCATTCATGCTGTTGTGTGTGTCAGTAGCTCATTCCTTTTTATTGCTGAGTGGTGTTCCATTGTAAGAATATACCATGATTTGTTTAATCCATTCATCTGTTGATAGACCCTGGGTTGTTTCTAATTTTTGGCTATTACATATACAACTGCTATGAACATTAATGCACAAGTCTTTGTATGGACATACACTTATGAGCAAAATGGCTGGGTCATACTATAGAAGTATGTTTAAATTCTTAGAAATTGCCAAACTGATTTCCAGAGTGGTTGTACTACCTTACATTTCCATATCAGTGTATCACTTCCACTTGTTCTGCATTCTTATTGACACAAAAGTTATGATTAGCCTTTTGATTATAGCCATTCCATTACATGAGTGTATAGGTATCTCACTGTGGCACTAATTTGTATTTCCCTAATGACTAATGATGTTGTGCAACTCTGTATATGCTTATTTGCCATCCATGCATCTTCTTTGCTGAAGTATCTGTTCAAATATTTTCTCATTTTGAATTGGGATGTGCATTTTCTTATTATCAAGTTATAATTTTAATATGCAAAAATCTTTACATATTCTGGATATAAGTCCTTTATCAGATAAATAATTTACAAATGTTTTCTCCCAGTTTGTGGCTTGTCTTTTCATTCTCTTACAGTGTCTTTCTAAGAACAGAAGTCCTTAAATGTGAATATATTTTGAAGGCAGAACAGGATTTTCTGATGGATTGGATGTGCAGTGTGAGCCACTGGAAGTCTGACACCAACTGAGAAGGGGAAGAGGTCAGGAGTTTAGTTTTGGATATGTTACACTTGAGACATCTAAAGTTCAAGTGGAGATTCCAGTAAGCACTTGGACATACAAGCTTGGAGTTCAGGAGAGAAGTCTGGGCTGGAAATAAATGTCTGCAGGTCACAAACATTCAGGAGGTGTTAAGTTAGTAGTTAACTATGTCCGAGGCACTGAATTTGGGACGTTCACAGCCATCATCCCATTTATTCTTTAAGACAACTGTAAACAATAGTAAAGATAATGCTACACACTAGTTATCTCAAGACATGGCTCAAACTGGACCTAATTGTCATCATCATCGCTAGCATTCATTGAGGGCTTATTATGTGCCAGGCACTGCTCTAGAGCTTTACATGTTTGTATTACTTCTTCCTCACAATGATCACATGAGGTACATATAATTATTATCCTACTATACAGTTGAGAAAAATGAGATGCATTATACCAGATTATATTAGTATGGAGTAAAATGGGCCTCTTACTTTCCTTAATCTGGATACTTTTTAGTGTTTGTAAAGTAAGTTCAGGATCACATTGTTACTAATTATTCTTATTATGTTATAACTAAAATTCTTCTTTGTATGCGAGCTACTTCTAAAATCAATGTTTTGGCATCATGCACTTAAAAAATTTATTTTTGAATTTAAATGTAGAGTTTTATAGAATTTAGTCTTGTCAGAATTTCACATTATCAGTGAAAATTCCTAAGGAATGAATACAAACACTTCAAAATCTACTTTCTATATGAATGACTAAAAGTACCAAGAGTTCCACTGGAGAGCAAAACTATATTTTTTTGAGTGCACATAGAAGACTTGATGTCAAAATGACTACAGTTTGCATCTCTGTTAGAGTCCATATGCTAAACATCTTGGAAATGATTTCATTATCTGCAGGGACTTAACATCTTTTTTCTGCACTAAGCCAAAACAGGTTCACCAAGACAGAAGACACAGAATCTATCAAATAATTAACTAACAGAGAAAGGATAAAATCACTATTTCAGAACAAGCAATGGAGTATTTTAATGGATTATTGATACTGATGGTGGATTACAAATTTTTATTGTGTTATGCCTAGTGATGTTTAATTAACATATACTAAAAAACAAACATCAAATATGGCATTAGTTTTTCAATAAAAGTTGTTTTGTATCATGATAGAATACAGAGGAAAAAAACCCATGGAAGCCCTTAAAAACAAGAAGAAAAAGAGTCCAAACAAAAAGGAACCACATGATATAGTAGACAGACAAATGGGCTTTGGAGTCAGAAAGAGTTTTGTTCAAGTTCTGGAGCATTTCAGGTACTAGCTGTATGACCTTACATTCTCTCAGTCTCAGTTGTTTCTTTTCATAAAGTCATGTTACAGGATTGTTATGAAGATTAAATGAGATGCTGTACAGGTACATACTTGGTTTTACTAACCATTTTTATTAGCAAAATGTAGTAATTTAGGAGCTCTTGTAGGGTGTGTGTGTATCAACAAATAGCTTACCAAATAAGCTTAGTTATTTTCTAACTGAAAGCACATTCCTACTGTATAAGAAAAGAGGTAGAAAGAAAACAGTGAAAATTACAAGAGGATCAAACCTGTGACCCATATCTAATTATCTTTATTGACTGTTTCCAAAAAGGGTGAACCAAGCAACAGCATGCTTTTGAATGAAGTCTAAGGTTCTTCTGTCTGGTAGAGTAGCCACCAGATAAGACTATTAAAATGAATCAAAATGATATATAATTAGAAATTCAGTTCTTTAGTTTACTATCCACATTTCAAGGGCTAAATAGCCAATGAGTGGCTAGTGGCTACCACACTGGACAGAGCAGACATAAAATACCGTGCTCATGGCAGAAAATTCCTACTGGAGAATGCTAGTAGGGAGTCTTTCTCTCTTCAGTTGCTACTACTACTGCATGGAGGCTAAAATCTAACTGAGTTTTGCTTAAAATGAAATTGCTTAACATTTTAGGTGTATGTCACAGAAAAATTTTCTGTGACATAAGAATTTATCAAATTTATCAAAAAATTTTATTTGCTATAAGAAAAGGAACTGAGATGGATCCTCTGGCTGATGCTTAGAGAGGAGGCCTAGGGAAAGTGACTGCAAAGACATGGCACAGCCTGGATTCTAGAGCAAGAAATGGGCATTGAAGCTGATTCTTAAAGCAATCCCTATTCCACACAATAAACACTTCTATTTCCCAAGTTTACTTGCATTAGAATTCTTCATAAGAAGGAAATTGGTGATTCACAAGTGAAAGCAACTAACAGAAGATTTGGAAAGCTGGAGACAAGGAGGCCGACTGGGGAGGCATCCCAGGACTTGAGGGGCAATCATTTGGTGATCAGTTGGATGTTTTTTGCCTCTTAAGATATTGTGGCCTGGGTGTGAGCGCAGCCTGCAACCTGGAAACTCCAAGGACGAGGAGTACAGACAAAATGAGGCCTAAGAAAAGCTTACTGTCTTTAGCCAAGGACTGAGAAGAGGCTGGCTCTGCAGGACAGAACCCTTTTGACTGCACCCACCCTACTACGGGGGAAACACCACAAGGAAGCTGAGTTCCTCCCCTTCAGAGCCCTTCCCACCCTTCCAGCTCTGCCTGAAGCAAATAGCAAGGAAGAGGGCCAGAGAGTAGGGGCAGGATTACCAAGAGGAGGGAGCTAGGAAGGGGTCTTTAAATCTGTGTATGAAGTCCTTGGCACTCCTCCAACAGATCCCTGGGTAAAAGCAACGAGAACCAACACAACAACACAACAACCAAGAGACTAAATTTGCAGCCAAGTTGGAGAAGTTGTGGGTCACCTGGTGACCTACTACTTGCTGTTGGCATCTGAAGTGGGGGGGCAGTCTTGTGGGACTGAGCCCTTAACCTGAAGGGTCTGCATTAACTCCAGTTAGTGTCAGAATTGAATGGAACTGTAGGGCGCCTAGCTGGTATCCCAGAGAATTGCTTGGTGTTGGAAAAACCCATGGAGATCAGGTGTCCAAAGTGCTATGAATGTGGTAGTCATGTGAAAGTAAAGGAAAAACACACAGAGAAACGAGTTTTTCCTAAACAGTTACATTTTGCATAATTCCACATATAATACTCTCGAAAGGACAAAAATTATAGTGATGGAGACTGGGTCAGTAGTTATCAGGATCAGAGGTCGGGGGGGATATAATTATTGAGTAGCATGAGGGTGACAGAACAGTTCTATAGCCTGAAGGTGGTGGTGGTTATATACTTCTGTACGTGTGATAAAATTTCATAGAACTAGACACAGACATGCACACACACGAATACATATAAATAAGTTGGTACATAGTTGTGTTCCAATGTTGGCTTCCTAGTTTTGATAATTGTGTTATGGTTACATTAGATGTTTCCTTGATGGGCAAGAAGGGTGAAATGTACACAGAACCCAGTACTATTTTTGCCACTTTTATGTGAGTCTCAAGTTCTTTCAAAATGAGAAGTTTAAAACAAATCACTGCCATTCTACATGTTTAACTCTCCTCTGGGCTTCCTAACTCCAAATACCTTGAATCACTCACTGAACCTCATCAGTTTATCTTCCTTAAAATCCCTGAGTCTGGGTATTTCTCTTCACTCCACTTCCTGGTCCAGGCCCTGTCACCCCCTGAATGGACAGCCATAGGATCTCTTTGCTTCTCATGTGTGACTTCTCTGAGGTTGTCTGTTCTTAGTTTTATTAGGATCATCTGAAAATCCCTTTCACAGCCTGACTGTGCCTTTCTCTCAGTAATAGATTGGCAAGTTTGGTACGCAGTGGACTGCGAGCTCTATTTCCAGTGAACACCTTTTCTCCTCACCATACACTAAAGTGGAGAGAGAGGTGAAGTCAAAAATGTTTTTTTTAAGTAAAATTATGCTTAAATTATGATTTCTCATTTCTAAGCAATTAAAATCACAAGGTAAAAAAAGTCTATTAAGGTATTTCTTATCAGAAAATAAGTAAATATAACAGAACCCTAAGGCATTATAAATGAGGCAAAAGAATAAAAATAATATTTTTCTGGATTAAATAATCCTACCTGAAATAAATAGTCGTAATGTAATATGAATTTGGAAAAATTTCTATAGCAGTGTGCCTTGTGCTTTAATAAAGTACTTGATTCATTGTCCCTTGTACATACTACATGCTGAATGCACATTTAATTGATATGTTCCCTGATTTTTTCAAAATTCAAATTGATTAGCCTGATAGAAAACATGCCCTTTTCATGTTTCATTACAGTTAATATACTTTAGGGTCTACATATTAAGCCTACAGAGGGTACAAAAGATCTCAATCATCTATGAGGAAAGTACGACTTTATTTGGCCTGACTTTTGTTGGAATGAATATTCAAGGCAAAAATCACAAATTTACATAAAGGTATTTTACAGGTATGGTTTAACAATTATAAGACATTCACATATTACTTAGTCTATTTATTCAAGTTCTTTCTTGATATGAAATGATTGAATAAGACTTGTGGTTTTACTGAGGAAGTAATAATTTTTTGGTGGGGGGACACAAAGCAATGGTATTATGACTTTGGGTACTCTTCATTATAAAGATTTTCATCAACTTACTTCATCACTTTGCAGTTATTCAGAAATTTTTCATATTTAAACCACAGCTTTAACTTTTTAGCCATGACTAAATAAACACCACTTACACCCACTGTAATGATTTACAAGTGTGCATGGGCAAGTATTTGAATATAACAAGCCTGTTATCATAAGCTAGATGACATTCTCACTGAATCCTTTCATCTTGAGATGACACATACACAGTGAAGGTAAACTGTAGTTCAAACAAGGCACAAGATGCTGAGCTCCAACAGCCTTCTGGAACTTCTTTATTTGAATTGCTGACTTTTTTGTCTTTTGTCTTTCTGGTACCAGAAATCTATTATGTATTAAGCTCAGATTACTTAGAATGAGAACTAGCATTATTGCAGAGATAAGGGTTTCCAAAAATAAATGTTATTAGCCAAGATAAGCATGATAATGTTATTTCAAGTCAAGAATAAGTAGGACTGAGTATCAGAGGATTGAATGTAGATTTGAGAAGCAATATTCTTAGGGAGAATCAAGTTCCACTGGAATCTCAAAATTGTTCTATAATATTATTCCAGGTCATTGTCACTATGATATATTATTAACTTATATTTTAATATATCTTGTTGCTTTGCATAATCTCTGGGGAAGTAGCATTGTACAATACAATGAACATTCTTTCATTCAACCAGTAACTAATATTTACTGAGCACCTACAACATGCCAGACACTTTCTAGGGTGCTAAACAGAAGTGAACCAACAGCCCCAAGGTCCCACCCTTACATAGCTTACATTTTATGGGGGTAAACAGACCATAAGCAAATAAGTGAAGTATGTCCGATGGTGACAAATGCTACGGAGAAAACTAAGGCAGGGAAGGGGGATAGAGAATATTGGCGGCAGGGGGCATTCCTCCCAAATTTTAAATTGGGTGGACCGGGAAGATCTTACTAAGAAGCTGATAGCTAAGCACAGCCCTGAAGATGGTGAAGCAATAAGCCACGAAGACATCTGGGGAGACAGTGTTCTAGGCAAAGGGCATGGCTACCACAGAGGCCCCCTGAGGCCCCCCGAGGCAAGAATGTGCCTGCTGTCCGAGGACCAGCAAGGAGAATAATATGAGGGCAACAGTGAGAGAAGAGGGGAGTAGGAGGAGGTGAAATCAGAGAGGTCTTGGGGAGCGAACCTGTACACTGGATTATGAAAGAATACTTCAAACGAGAGGCCTGGTGGAAGGTGTAAATTCAGCAGTCATTGAATTTAGATAAAGACTACAGTGTACAGACTACATTTGAAGCCATTAAAACTAGATGAGGTCTCCAAGGGTCTGAGCATAGATAGAGAACAAGAGGAGAAGCAAGGACAAAGGCCTGTGCACCCCTGTGTGAAAGTGGATGCGGGGAGAAGAGGGAGAATCACTATCATCTGAGAAGTCCATTATCTAGTATTTATTGAAATAGATAATGTTAAAGCACACAGTCACACCCAAAATAAAGATCATTAATTTTTTATTATAAGAGAGTACTATTTCAGTTGTTCATGTTGCACTTCTTTGGAACATGTGTTGGTAGGCCTTCCTCCCTGATATATTCTGTCTTAATCTGTGTTTGTTCCCTCCGCCTGACAACTTAATGTCACTCGAGTGGCATATCTTCTACTCAGGTGTTTCCAGAGGCTGTGCAGAAACAGCAAACAACATGAACAAACCTGTTATGAAAAGTGCTCAGAAAAAAAGAAAAGGTAGAAAAGGTGGCAACCTTCTAGAGCAATACATTCCTGTCCCTGGAAGTCCAAACAAAGTGTAGATGGCCAGCTATGAGCTCGTGTACCTTAAGCCATGGGTGATTCAGTGCTTCATAAACAGTGATCCTTTCAGCTGGGTCCAGCATCAGCATGCGACGCACTAGGTCTTTGGCACTTTCAGAGATATGGCTCCACTGCCTTGGATTCATCTGAAGAGGAGGAAGGGAAAATTATATAGTTATTGTCAGTGAGACATTAACATTTCCTATTATTTAATATTCCTATGTTGTTTCAGTGTGAATAAAATTCTCAGAGCAAAGAAAAGAAACTTGATTCTAAAGGCTTGCTTTCTAAGGAAGAAGAGGACAAATGCAATGTTTTTTCTTGTTGTTCCTCATATGAGATTTTGCATCAGCAAATATTTCTTAACATACATTCTTATTGTTATGTAAGTTATAATAGTTTTAATAACTGAAGAGTAGAATGTTCATGATTCCATTGACCTCAGCTCGAGTGATTAGAATACTCTGATCTAGAAAGGACTAAAATAAAATCAAAAAATTAAAAAATTTAAAGAAACATTTTTAATATTGTGTTTTTAAAAATTGGGGGTTAGCAGTACTTGTGAAGCTATGCAAAGTTATTAATAGGATATTTTGGTCACTATACCAGTTTTAGTATTTAGGAAAGTCTATTACCATAGGCTCTACAAAAATCACCATTTCACTTGTATATTTATTGTTCTCAGTGAAGTTATTTTTTGTCCTTCTTTAAGATATAAGACAACTAAACCACAAGGTAAATTGACTAAAGTCAAATAAAAAAAATTATGAGTTGTTTAAAGACATAGGACTTGTGAGAAAGACTGTGGATCTGCACAGCAAAGAACTGGGAGGCTCCTGGGAGAAAGGATATATCTGAGATCAGGAGCCACAAAAAAAGAGGAAAGGAATGCTTAGGGCTTGGAGTCTGGAAGGCAACTGGGGATAGGAGGGTAGAGATGGATGGAATAGGGTCTCCTTCCGTATTTAATGTCAGGGAGCCGACTGCTCTGGTGACCTTGTGAACTTCCTGGTGCCAGGAGATTTAAGCAATGCCATGGCTTTCACTGGCAGAGACCTATGTCACCTTCTAAGAGAAGAGGGAGAATAAAGTCCATAACAATTTAACGCCAAATGAATTCACAACTTGCGTCACACTCACAGGAAACATAGCAGTTTGGCCAAGGGCTAGTGGTAGACATTTTGCTCGGCCTAACGTGAGGCTTTGTACTTGTAGATGAGGAGTGAAAAATGTTCCATTTTGTTTTTTTAACAGGCAGAATTCCAAACAATAGTCACTTCTGCTTGTCAGATCCCTTAATTAAAATGAGTGTCAGGAGACTGATGAAATATTGTCATCATCCTATTTAAGTTGTGATCAATTGACCTGTTCAAAATAAGGAGGTGAGTGACTAGAGGGGGTTTAGACAGTCCTGTTTCCTCTTCTCTACCCTGGAGCTGATGTGCTCTTTAAAGTTTGAATCATTTGTCCTCAGGTAAGGGGTTGAGAAATTATCTGAAAGTGGTGGTAAGATTTCTGAAGTGAGTAGAGGTTGAGAAGTATATTTCCCCCTCCACCCTTCATATGAGGGAGTTCAATACAGGGTTTTCCTCTTCCTTTGGCTGAGAAGAGTAGCTGAAATTAATTTGGGAGGTCAAGTATATAAAGGGGGAACAAAAGAAGGCTCTAAAAGTCTCACTTATTTAATCCTAAAGCTGTGGCCACTTAGACTCCTGTTGTGTAGCTATCAACTGGCTCCCTGTAACAATGATAAAATATGACATTGCATCTTTTATATACTTTGGGATATATTTTTTGTCCTTCATAAAAAAATTTATTGGAAGTACATGTTGCATGTAGTCCAGCGAAATAGTATTCTCTAACACCTTAAAAGATAGAATAAACTAGCAAATAAAAACTTAAGAATAAAAAGTTAAATTAAAATCACTTAAGACCAGTAGCAATTTATAAACAATGATAATTTTTAAAAGATATCATAAAAGTTTTCTTGAAAATATCCATAGAGATCAAGGATTTTGTTAGTAATTCTTTTGTTAAGAACCACCAGTGTGACAAAATATTTTATTTAGATATATGTTGATAAGTACTGAAGCTTGGGGTTTATTACATTACTATTTCAACTATTTTTGTTTAAAATTTTCAATGATAAAAAAAATGCAAAAATAAATGCTGACAGAATCATAGCAGTGTGTGTATATGTATATATATATATATATATATATATATATATATATATATATATATATATATTTGTAAAGGCCCAGCAGGATCATCATTAATGGTAGAGATGGATCTGTATTTCAAACTAAGCTGCTGAAAATCTGGGGCTTTTCTAAAGAAAGCCATGAATGTAAGTGAGAGGTGAGATTAGTCAAGTAAAAGGGTAGATAAGTTATTAGCTTCAAAGCTTCAAACTCCCAGGTACAGAAATTATGATACAGTTGTCACCATCTGACTAACCATAATGCTGAGAATAGGGAATTTTAAAATAATCTAATTTTTGGACATGTGTGAACAGTCCAAGTTTCTTACAAAACCCCCGAAATAAACTATTCAATGCTTTAAAATCAGACAAAATCAAATACCAGAGGCTGGTGTGGAATGAAGCACATTGTCTTGGAAACCAGGAAGCTAGCAACTGAACAAACACAAAGGAAGAATTCTATAATCAGCAAATGATTATAACTCAAAAGGGCAGGTGGGAGGTTTGATTACATGGAACCTACGTCATAAGTTGCTGTGAGGACGAAATGAGTTAATAAAAGTGCTTAGTACAGTTCCTGTCCACCTAGTAAATGCCACGTATGGGCTAGCTACCATCATCGCGAGCATTGTTATTATGCTGATGCATTACTAATTGTGTTTATTTTCCTATGTTAGTATCTGTGATTTCACTTGGCCAAATTCAACCAGAAAGCCATGGCCATGCATTTCTGCTAGCTACTCACGATTTTCAGGGATGGGAGGGGGATGACTACTTATTAGCAGTTTCCTGAAACATTTAGTTACTTTGAAAGGCTTGAGTTTATTCCCCAGAGGTCAACTGATACTAAGAGAAGCAGAAAACCCTATACTTAAAACATCTTTCCTTGTTAACAGTTTTGGCACATATCTTAATCCAAATAAAATAAAGGACGAACCTGTAGGCCCTTATAAGCTGATGCTGCATGAGGCCAAAAATTAAAAAAAAAGTATAACCCGTTCTTGCTTTCTCAGCTCCACAAGCTTCCCTACTGGTTTAGAAAGATAAGGCAGCAAGTCTAAAACTACTTTATCTCTCATTTCTTTATTTCCCTTTTCCTTTAAGTCCCATATAAAATTCTAACATTATTGAGGAATTGAAAAGAAAACTTTACGGGCCTCATGGTTTTGGAGTCTGGTGTCATATAAACCTGTGTGTTTGGTTTTATGTTACCAGGCATGGCTGAAAATGGAACAGTGATTCTGTTGAATAGAAAGTACAGGTTTCAGTAATATGGGGAGGAAAAAGAACTTCCCCAACATAAGCTGCCCTGATCTGCTATCCAGACACACACTTCCTCATCTTCCTGTGTATAGCAGGCTACCCTATCAGCCACACATGGAATACAGGGCAAAAAAGCATAAGAGCTGGGAGAGCAAGACTAACTTTAAGCTTATTTATTTTTAAGAATTCCTTAGGTCCTTTTGGTATAGCCATTCAGAATGTCAGTAATGACTTTAATTTTTAATAATAAAACTAATAATCACAAGACTATGAATAATACATGCAGTTTCCAGTCCACAGTAGCCAGAGTGTGAATGTTTCAGTTAGACCAAAATGGATCTAAATTATATTATGAAATGTAGTTGTGATACTGGTATTTCAGTTTATCCTGGAATATAAATAGCAGATTTTCCAGCTGTGCTGACTGATTTCATAAAATGTAGCAATGTGTGATAAAGCATAAGAAATCAAGGTTAATAGACCCTAAATATAAAATAAAGAATTACTAAATTACCTGGATGAAATTTCCATTTTAACTTTACAAATTACACAAAAAGCTTTAAAAATGAAGCCCTTTTCTCATATTACACAATGAAAGGCCAAAAAGCTTATTTTCCAGATGAGCCTGATTAAATGGGTCTCATCACCAGATAGCTAATGGATATTTTAAAAATCTGGGCTCAGGTCTGGCACAAGCACCTTACTCAGGATAAAATAAAAGGTCAAATTCTATCACAATAAACTTCAAGGATCATTCTATATTCTTTCCTTGACCTAGATTTTTATTTGAAATAAGTAGGGCAGTAACCAAGCAGTTTTGCTAGAACGTACTTGTGGTAAAAGAATTTGATGTGTAGTATGGCTTCATGAATCTGAGGGCCTAGGACTCTTCAACTGTTGACTTGCATTTGGGGGAAAGGGAGCACATCCATCCGGTCTCCAGTTTGTACATTGTATCAAAGAGGACTACTGTCCCTGTTCTAGTGTATACACAGGGTTGTAGTTCAAATACGTGGGACAGACTTTAGCTGCAGCACAGAGGGAGGCAGGGGGGAGGGGCAAGGCAATGGATGGTGTCAAGCTAGCTTCCTCTCTTCCACCTATATGACAGTTCAGCTGATAGCAACTCAGACATTTACTTGAGGTCTATGTTGCTTAACAAGGCTAGTAGATCAATGACGTAAGCAAAGAACTTTTCCCTGGGTAACTACGTGACAATCAATAAGCAATCCAAAGACAGTAAAAAATGAAAAATAAAACATTCATAATATATTACCTTGTATTTTCCTTTAATAATGCCTTCAAACAATCTTTCCTTGGTTCCATAAAAAGGCAAACAACCACTTAGCAGGATAAAAAGGATCACACCACAACCCCACACATCTACAGGTTTTCCATAAGGTTCTCTTTTGACAACTTCTGGGGCCATAAAATGAGGTGTTCCAACGCGTCCTACATTTAAAACAACATCATCGAAGGAAAATGTTTACATAAAATGGTCTTTTTCCCCCCATTTGAAAACTGAAAATAGAACAGTAACAATTTCCATTTCTGAATGGAAAGTGTAACAATAGAAATATTCTCTTACCACCTCTCCCCTCCCTCCAGAAAATCAAGGGAAAAAAAGGTTGAAGGAAGAAAATTATTTATTTAATCACCTCTTGAAAATATTGAGCCCAGGATAGTCACTTGGTCTAACACTGGTATGCCCTATTGAATTCAGTGGTGTACATGATAAGTGTTTACCTATTTCTCACTTCATGAAGAAGTTACTTAAATTTTCTAACTTTTTCATGTTTGAAAATCACTAAAAATACAGAGCAGGGGCAGGAGAAGGGGGAGGAGAGGGCAGGAATGAGAAAATAACTAGAAAAAGATTATTTTTGACTGCCAAATGGAAATTCTCAAAGGAAACTTAATGCTGAGAACTTTTATTTGGAATATGACTCAATCTGAAATCCTGTTCAGCTGGTTTTAGGAAGTGATGGTTGCAATTAACAATGGTTAGTAGTGTTTTGTTATAACAATTTTTTAGCTTCCTCCAAATGTGAACATTTGAAGAGAATGAGAACAAATATATGATATGAATCAAAGCAAAGTCACGAAGCTTCTCCCACTCAATCCTCCTTGATCTCCATCTTGTTTAGAGTTTTTTTCCCTCATTCAAAACTAGCTTTCAGTAAGGAATCTGATAGCAGTTGTTTGCACACTAGTAATCATCTTTAACTCATATCCCAAAGGGAGTCTTTCTTCTACTATAGAATGAGAGGCTTGCACCCTGCAGAGAACTTACTGTGGGAGGGGGCACTGCCCACCACATCTGGCAGCTCTTTTTGCTATATGCATGCTGAACCCTCTCTCATCATGCCAAGTCCAAGACAATTTTTACTTTGAAGACAGCACAACACTTTATCTACATCTCAGAACTGTGGTTCAGAATTTAAAAAACAGACCTTAGAGATTTTCTATTCCATCTAGAGAGACTATATCACAAAGTCCTGCTAGTGACTGTCAAACTGGGTTGGGATGGAGAAGAATAAGGCAGATCTTGTGTACTTGGCTTGTGTACTAGGGATGTTCCTTGGCTGCAGAGCATTATAGTATCCCCCCTTCCCCCGTAACAGCAGAGATTAAATAAAGTTAAGGGTTCAGAAAGTGAAAACATTTTCATTAAAATGTATAATAGATCAGTGAAAACTCTGTCCTGGCTAGAAGGAAAGAATTTTATTTCCATATTGCCCCATTTTGCTTCCTCAAGTAACCTAAATAAGCTGAAACGATAAGAGCTAAGCCTCCTACTTCATTAACAGTCTGGACAGGGCAGGGCAGCTGGAGAATTTGCCTTGCTCTGATGTACGGGGGGAAGTTGGCAGGAGTAGATCAAAGCAGGGAAAGAGATCAGGGTACCACTCAGGGTACTGGTACCAGAGCATCAGTCAGATACCTGAGGATGGCTGGGATAATACTTTGAAACTCAACTTGATAGTAGGGAGATAGTGGGAACTATCTCAAGAAAGGGCCAAGGCACCCAAAATGAGGGCCTCACTTTGGGAATAGTCAGAGCCACAGTGGCCAGCCCCAGCCACTCTCAGGAGGTTCTTGCCCTTTACCTGGGTTGAAGACTACCCTGTTCTGGAGAATAAGTGTTCATCCTTGGGGAGGATACGTATCTTTTGTTTCAAGAATTTGCTCACAGATGATGGGGGAAAGACCATGGTAGAAAGAATGTATAGGAATGATCTTTTTACAGTACTTCATGCCAATCAACAGAATATAAAAGGACTTGACTTTACTTTTAACATACATCAACCTCCCCAAACTTCTTGTTTGTGATCATTTGCCTTTTCCTTTTTTTTGGTCAATTTGATTTTTATGGCTTTGACCACAAAATTCTAAGAACAGGAAGCCAATTACTAAACCAAATCAAATGCCACTGTGTATGAAATACTTCAGATATACATCTAAATATTTAAATGTTAGATTTTTTTGATAACATAATAAAAGCTTAATACCTAGAACCTTAGGGAGGAAGTTGTTCTGAATAGCCTACATAGTCAATACTTTAGGACATGAAGCTTTACGTACCCAAGCCTTTTTACTTTAATAATTTGGGATGGCTATTTTTCTACAATTTCCTGACTTCTTTCACACAATATACTGCACATGATTTAACCTTTTCTTGATGACTCAGAATTGCCATGTGGATATCAATGAGAAAACTGTGCTAGATAACAGAAAATGCCTCCAGGAACTTCAGAGGTATGCAAGGTTTGATTTCTAAAAGGCTGTTGTGCTTTCCAAATTTTGGCATCTGCTCAGTAAATTTTTTCTGTCAGGCTTTCATTCCTTTTCCTCACTAAGCTTAATCTTTCTCTTCTAATTTGTTGCATAAACTCTGCTATTAACCGGAACCTGATTAGAGAGCAGATTCCTTCATTTAGTAACAATTTCCTAAGTGCTGCTAGGTTCTAGATACAGTGGTAGGTGCTGTGAACACACAGAGGGATAGCCACGGCCCCTCTGCCATCATAAAGCTCAATCTTTGATGTACAAACCCCTGCATCAAATGCTACAGGGAGGTATGCAGCCCAAATAGTTATGGTAATATGGAAGAGAAGAAATAGGGTTACCTAACTTAGGATGGTTAAGATCAGCCTGTTTTTAAGGGGAGATGATTGTCAGCTCAGCCTTCAAGAACAGCAGGAGTTAACCAGATACATAAAATGACAAAAGACATCCAAACCAGAAGGAATGGCAGGTGCAAGGTATGAAGGAACACAAATCCATAAAACTTATGCGAGATGGGGGCATGTCAGCTTCAGAGGGTGTGTCTTTAGATGCTCACTTGAGAGGACCATGAATAGGTATTAAGGTCAGGAAATGTCTTGCTGCTATGATCATTACTTTCTAGGTTCCTAGTTATCTTCTGGATAAGTGAGCTTTTCAAATTGCTGAATTCCCAATAGGGCAAGTGTAAATACATATAAATGGTTTTTACTATCTATAAAGGAGAAAATTCCTTTCTATTTGGAAGACTGAGTGATCAAAGATTGCAACTGACAGGAAAACAGCTTTCTGCTAAGTATTAGAAATGAGCTGGTAAGTTAGTAAAATTTTCAAAAGTACTTAAACAATAAAAAAGTTTTTTTTACAAGAGAAAACATTTATCCCTTATTTGCTATGGTTTCAAAAGACACTGTAATGCCTAAAGTATTTCTTTCAAGATTATAAGGAAAGGTATGTTAAGAAATGACAATATTTCAACCATCACAGTGTTTTAATTCTAGAAGCACTGAGAAAAATAAATTTTTCATAACTGACACACTGTGGGTTCAAAATCAGCTTTAAAAATATACTATTTAGGGCAAAGGCTCATGGACTTTAGGAAAATAGATTAACATGTAGAAAATGTCCAGGTAAAAATATGGAATCTGTTTTTCCCCTTCAATCAAGATGCATAGTAAAACGTGAAGTCCAGGCCATTTTGAATACTGATAGGATGCAGATTCAGATCAAAAGAAAGAAAGCCATTATAGATGTACGGCCGGTATAGAGTATATAGAAGGAATGTATTTTATTTCATTTCATCCTATCAACCTTGGGGATCTAATCATCAGAAATTATTTGTTATAATCATGTAGTCTTAACAGAGGGGTGGATCTGTATAAATACAGCATTTGAGAGAGTTAGTTTAATAGCAACATTTGTTTAAGAACAGCAATTTAGGATTTATAATTGATGACAAGATTAATATGAGCCAGCAGCATGTGTGGATGTCCAGAAGGCTAATGCCATTTGGGGAGCCTGACAGATATGCAAGACTCACAGCAAATGAAGCGATAGTCCCACGCTCCTGTGCCCTGTACTGCACCTGTAGTTGTGTTTGGTTCTGGCTCTGTGCTTTGTGCATAATGTGGAGATTCTGAACCAGATGATGTGAGGAATGGCTAAGTTAACCTAGGCAAGTTAACATGGAGAAGACTTACGGGGACATAATAGCTGTCTTTAAACATCTGAATGGCTATCATGTAGAAAGACTGAAATTGTTCAGCGTGGCTCCAAAAGTCAGATTTAGGACCACTGGGTGGAGGGTTCAGGAAGGTAGCTTGTCTGCTCAATGCAAGGATGAACGTTTCAGTACGTAAGGAGCTTTCCAAAAATGGAATGAACTGTACTGGGACACTGAATTCTTTGCTGAGGAATTAAACCAGAGCCCAACCTTTTGCTAGGAATTTTATGAGATAATTACAATCATTACATTACAAGACTGGAGACATTAAGGTCTCTTCAAATCCTGAGATGCAAATGATCATATGATTAAATTATGTGTTACTACTTGACCAGATGATCAGTCTTCTAACACAGATGAAAAGCTTTGAATTAGGGAAAAAAATTGGTTTTTAAAACCACACTCAGCTTGCAGTTGCTCGTGTTATTGGACATAATTAGCTAGAGGGGAATACAAAACTAGAAGAAAACCTGAACATAGTTTAATTTAGAGGGCAATGTGGTGAAGGAACAACTTAAAGAATACAACTATGATATACAACTCATGGCTTGTTTTTTATAAGATGGTCTATGTTAATACTGATTTGATGTTTTGGTAATAATGAGTTACAATAAATGAAATACCCTGTGTAACAGATTATTATTTTGATACTTATCATTTGTCAGGTATTTGAACTTAATATAAGCTTTCTTGAAAGATGACAGATTTAAAAAGTTTCTGTTGATATTTTTCATATTTTTCCTCTTTGTGAAGGCTGGCAGTATTTGGAGTTGGAAAATTGAAGGCCAGGACTAGAAGACTGATTGTTTGTAGAATGGAGAACTAAATAATTTGTAAAACTAAGGAACAGAACTAAAAACAGGGCAGCATTCTGAGCTGGTGTCTACTGAAAGGAATAAATAAAAAAACAAATACTTGAATCTGAAATTAGCATCCACCTCTATATACCGGTAAGAAAATTTTCTATTTTAATTTTTCATCTTTTTTCCTGGCATGGGAATTTTCTAATTATGTTTTGCTTTGGTTAATAATATAATCAGTCTGCATTCACATCAGCTTGCTCTTCCCAAATACACAGATTGATGGCTTGAGCAGGACTCTTTCACAAATGGAAAGAGGAAAACAGTATGAAGTTAAAAATTAGCCATTGACCTAAATGAGAAAGTGGTTAATCCACACATTTTAGATTTAACTTTGTTTGGCCAGGTCAACTTTACAAGTCACTTTGCCCCAAAAATCATCTTCTATCACTGTTTTAATCTCTGTAATGTAAGGTCTCCTCTCTGTTAAGTGCTGGGGATACTAAGAGTAAAAAGTCAGAGTTTATTCTTAAGGGGCTGAAGTTCTAGTTATGACTACTGAGTTATTAAATTTAAAACTAGATGATGGTACTTTTGTGGGGGGTGTGATAGCATATGAAACACTGAGGATGGGCTAATATTTAGTTTGAAAGTTTTACAGCAACCTGAAAGTGACCAGGTTTTGAGGGAAATTTTTTAAGAAGTGTCCTTACCTCCAGCTACAAGTCCAGATTCCCCTAATTGAATAGCCACCCCAAAGCCCCCAAGTTTAACAGGTGCTGAGTTTTCCTTTGAAGCGAGGAGAACACAGTGGGGCTGAAAAGAAAAACAAACAACAAACAAACCAAAGATAAAGATTAATTAAAGATGAACAATTCAATTTATACAAAACTAATTAAGTAACACGACCATATAGTAGTAATACATTAAAGACTCCTGAATTATTTTGGATGCGTGAACTATTTGTTCTATTGTCATTCCAGCTGATTTCTCTAGACTTACCTGTTTTATCCAATATTTTTCAGGAATTGTTTGCTTCTAAGCTTAGGGTATGGTGCTAAGAATTACTTACGAAGCATGCATGTTCAAGTAAGACAGACATATTTTCTGCCTTCTCATGCAATATTCTCTTTCTTTGAGTGACAGTCTACATTTGTTTAAGGAAAAATATATTTTATACCTCCTGCCAAAATGTTTCTTGAAACCGTTGACTTATCTGCAAAGCCACTATGTGTTGGTCCTTATGGGATGCTGGTGGCCCTTTCTTTGTCCACCCTTCCACCATCCTCTTTCTTTTGTTTAATCATTCCAACCCCAAGTAAGAAAAGTCAGATTTTAGGACTTTAATTGAGCCTCACTCCTAGGGAGTTCAGTGCTCTCCCTGGGCACATCTTTTCTCTGGACCTGCCTTTCTTCTCTGTGGGAGTGGGAGGAGAAAAAGGAGAAGGGGGAAAGGAAACGCTTGGCTGGCCTCTAGTTCAGGGCAAAGACAGCCTCCCTGAGGGAGAGCTGCGTGGCCAGTGCTCCCTAAGAATCATATGCTTGGGGTCACAGTGAGAGCTTCTTTGTAGGACCTTGTCCCCTCCATCTATCTTGTTGGGCCTTATGTCAGGAAAGGATTTAATTGTGGGGCTTTGGTCTCTGCTCAAACACTATGCTCCCCAATATGACTGACATTACATATGACCTGCTCTTAAAATGTGGGCTGGTGAAAAATGCCAAGCCTCTTCGGGCCTGGAAGACAGAAGTATTTTTATTCTCTCCTATACTTGCTCATTCATAAAATGACAGAGTTTTAGTCCAGGTTTAGCCTGCATAATAGTGGGCATGAAAAACTTGTGTAATAAAACTTTGAGCTGGTACACCCAGAGTGATATTTGATGATGATACACAAAGTGGGAGGGATCCTTACTCTGCCCAAAGCAAGCATGAGGGGTCTACTTTAGAAGTTACTCTTTGTGCAAAGACATGTAAAGACCTTTACCAGAAGTCTAGCACAAAGAAATATGAACCCTCAAATATAAATGTGAGTATGAGTGTGTATGAGAGAGAGAAAGAGAGAAGAGGGAAAGCAAGAGTAGCAAATAGTGAGCAAACTGCAAGACACATGGCAGCCAGAAGGGTCTATGGGAAGCAAACCTCTACAGATACCAACCAATAGAGGCTGTGGTCAATAAGAACTTTCCATTGGTTCCAGTAGAGATCAATGACCACAGACATGAGGAAGGAACCAACAGCCCCAGCATGAGTCTAGTAAATGAATGAGCCTAGAGAAGGATGGCCATGCTGCAGAAGAACAATATACAAACTACGTCCAGACAGGGTCTCCTGGCCAATGCTTTTGTCAACTTCTTAGGAAGGAGAAGTAGAAGTTTAAAACAGAATCCCAAAGTATACCCTTCAGTTTGTTGACTATATCTATGCTTAAGTTAATGTTATACTGAGATCTATGTAATTCTTAACAGAGTTGGATTCTGTCATTCTAATAAATCCTTAAGCAAGACAAATCATAAAAATGGAACTTAAGATAGAAAATAAACTAAAAACCCAAAATATATAAATGAATATAAGACCAGGTAGTGTTAAGTGTTATGAGGTACAGTTAAGCTGGTAAGGAGGTAAGTGTTACAGGTTTGGAGACAAGGGAGCTGCTCTATAGTAACAGAAGGCGGGGAGTCAGAGAAGGCCTCTCTAATCCAGTCTAAACACAGACCAGAGTGAAGTGGCAGAGCAGGCTCTATGGAAGCAAGTTCCAGATGGAGAGGATGTTAAGTACAAAGGCCCAGAGGCATGAGGAAGGTTGGTATGTTTGGAGAAGAGTAAGAAAGCCAGTTGTGGGGAAAGGAATGAGCAAGGGGAGGAGTGGTGGGAAATGCGTTCCAGGTGATCAAAAGCGCTACTGTCTAAGGCCTTGACGCCATGACAGGTCAGAATTCTGGGTTTTATGTTGAGTGAGATGGGAAACTACTGGAAAATTATGAGCATGGAGCATTATGATCAGTTTCAGGTCTTGAAAGAATCAGCTGGGCTGCATGTACAGAAGAGAATGCAAAGGCACAACACTGGAAGAAAGTAGACCAGGTAGGAGGCTTCTGCAGTTACCCAGTCAAGGGAAGATGGTGATTTGGACTAGACTAGAGTGATGGAAGCAGAGATGGCAAGTAGTGGTCAAATTCAAGATACAGTCTGGAAGTAAAGCTGATAGGAATTGCTACTAGATATGGGGTGTGAGAGACAGAGGTAAGTCAAATATGACATCTAGGTTTTGTTTTGGGCAACTGAGTGAAAGTGAAGATGCCAATTACTGAAATTGGGAACATAGGAGGAAGAATTTTAAGAGAGACCAAGAACTTGGTTTCACTCAAATTGAATGTGAGATCTGAAACACTCAAATTGAATGTGAGATCTGAAAGATGGGACAGGGAAGGCTTGGATTAGAGATATAAATTTGGAATTAACAGCATTTAAATAGTATTTACAGCCAAGGTAATGAATGAAATTGCTTAGGGAGTGATTACCAATAGAGAAGAGAAGAGGTTGGAGGATTGAGACCTGGTGCACAGGAGGATTTGAGGTCAAGGAAGATGAGAACAATCTAGCAAAAGAAACAATACCTAGACAGTAAAATCAGGAGTCTGCTGTCCTGAAATGCTGAGAGGTCATTTGAGAACTATGAACTGACCATGAGATTTGGCAACTTGGAAGTCACTGGTGACCTTGATAAGAAGGTTTTGGTGGTATGAGAGAGACAAAAATCCGCATTGGACCAGGTTCAACAGAGAATGGAAAGAGATAATGTGGAGATAGTAAATTCAGATATATTTCAAAGTTTTACTAGGAATAAAGAAATGCAATGTAGCTAGAATAGAGTGTGAAACTGAGGAAGTTTTTTTTAACTTTTTCATATTTACAATTAGAGAAAAATAGATTAATAAACCCCCATGTACCTATCACCCAGTTTTAACAACTATTGACATTCTGTGCCATTCTTGCTTCCTCAATTTCCAACCATTTATTTTTTTGCTGAATTCTTTTAAAACAAATCATTTTACCTTTTAATAGTTCAGTATTTCTAACAGACAACTTAAAAAATATCATTATCACACCCCATAAAATTAGCAACTCTCCAATATCATCTAATACTAATCCACATTCAATTTCCCCGTACTGTCTCAAAAATGTCTTTTATAGCTGGTTAGTTCAAAATGGTGTTCATAGTCCATACATTGCATTTGATGGTCATATCTCTTAAGTCTTTTATTCTATAACCTTTTTAAAAAATGTTCATGTCATTGATTTGTTAAGATACTAGGTAATTTCCCCTGTGGAATCGCCTACAATCTGGACTTGGCTAATGGTACCTACATGGTGTTATGTATGTATGTATGTACGTATGTATTATTTTTTATTAAGTTATCATTAATATACACTCTTATGAAGGTTTCACATGAAAAACATTGTGGTTACTACATCCACCCATATTATCAAGTCCCCACCCATACCCCATTGCAGTCACTGTCCATCAGTGTAGTAAGATGCCACAGTCATTACTTGTCTTCTCTGTGCTACACTGTCTTCCCCGTGACCCCCCTACACCATGTGAACTAATCATAATACGCCTCAATCCCCTTCTCCCTCCCTCCCCACCCACTTTGGTAACCGCTAGTCCCTTCTTGGAGTCTGTGAGTCTGCTGCTGTTTTGCTCCTTCAGTTTTGCTTTGTTGTTACACTCCACAAATGAGGGAAATCATTTGGTACTTGTCTTTCTCCACTTGACTTATTTCACTGAGCATAATACCCTCTAGCTCCATCCAAGTTGTTGCAAATGGTAGGATTTGTTTTCTTCTTATGGCCGAATAGTATTCCATTGTGTATATGTACCACATCTTCTTTATCCTACATGGTGTTATTTAATATATTCCTTAATGTCCTGTATTTCCTAAAAATTGGTAGTCAGATCTAGAAGCTTGATTAGACTCACACTCAATTTAGTTTTTTTGCAGTGATACTTCATCAGTGGTATCTATTTTGTACACACCAGGAAGACATAATGTCTGGCTTTCCTACTTTCAGTGACAGGATTGATTAGTGGGTTCAGGTATTCTCTTGTCTTGATCCATTATTATATATTTTATCTTCAACTTTTCAAAGATTTTAGCAGCCATTGATGCCTAGACTCCATAATTAGGGGTTTCAAAATTGAGATTTTCTCCAACACTTTGTTATGAAAACCATCAAACATAGAGAAAACTAAAAGAATTGTGCAGTAAATAGCCATATGTTCACCACACAAATTCTACAATTAACATTTTGTTAAGTTGTTTTATCAAATATATATTCTTACATCTATCCAACCATCAGTACATCTTTTCACTACACTTCAACACCCATATCATTAGTTTAATATTTGTTTAAAATTATGTTTAAGGTAAAATTTATATACTGTGAATTTACATACTGTGCACAAATCTTAACAGTCCCATTAGAGAGTTTTGACAACTTGCATATATCTGTGTAACCCAAATCCCTACCAAGATGTTTTTATCATATTAGAAGCATCCCTCATTCCCTTCCCATTCAGTCTTTGTTGCTGTGTCCCCAGTGCACACCACTATTCTGATAGTTTTTCACCATAAGTTTGTTTTGCTTATACTAGAACTTCATATACACAAAGCCGTACCACTCAGCATGCTGTCAGGATGGCTAGTATCAAAAAGACAAGAAATAATAAATGTTGGTAAGGATGTGAAGAAAAGGGAACCCTTGTGCACTGTTGGTGTGAATGTTAAATGATGTAGCCAGTATGGAAGGCAGTA